CTTCCAGACGATATCGTCTCAGACCGAGGATCTAACTTTGCCTCCAAGTTCTTCCAAGCCGCCCTGACCCGCCTCAAGATCAAGCACAAGATGTCGACTGCGTTCCATCCGCAGACCGACGGCCAGACCGAGCGGGTCAACGCCATCCTCGAGCAGTACCTCCGCTGCTTCATCAACTTCCAGCAAGACGACTGGGCCCAGCTTCTCCCTCACGCCGAGTTCACCTACAACAACACCTCTCAAGCAACCCTCGGCTGCTCCCCCTTCTTCGCCTACACCGGCTACCACCCTCGTTTTTCCGTCGCCCTTCCCCGCACCACCAAGAATGCCTCCGTCGCCGACGATCAAGCCCGAGCCATTCACTCCCTCCACGATGAACTCAAGTTCAACATCGCCCTTGCCCAGGACTCCCAAGCCAGGTTCTACGACCCCGGCCACTCCCCCTCCCCTCCGTTCAAGGTTGGAGACCGAGTCTGGCTCTCCGCCAAGAACATCAAGACCCAGCGACCCACGGCCAAGCTCGACCACACCAAGCTTGGGCCGTTCAAGATCGTCGCTCAAGTCGGTTCCCGCGCTTTCAAGTTGGACTTGCCCTCGTCCATGCGCATTCATCCTGTCTTCCACGTCTCCCTTCTCGAGCCCGCCGCCGACGACAAGATCCCAGGTCGAACCGTCCCGCCCCCTCCACCCATCCAAGTCGACGGCCACGACGAATGGGAAGTCGAACAGATCCTGGACTCCAGGCTGTTCCGAGGTAAGCTCCAGTATCTTGTGCACTGGCGTGGCTACACGGTGATGGATTGCACCTGGGAGCCCGCCAGCAATCTTGCACATTGTCCGGAGCCTGTCACTGCCTACCACTCCTCTCATCCCTCGAAGCCTGGCCCTCTCGGAGCTCGGGCCTTGAGAGGGGGGTAGTGTCATGAACACCCTCTGCCTTTGCCCTCTTCCTTCCTTTACCCTTGCCCTTTCCTTTCTGTTTGCCTGTCTTAGTGCTTTCCCTTCCTTCTGTTTGTTTGTTTCCCGCGCTGTGCTGCCTTGTTGTCTTACCGCCAGCACGCGCGCTGTCTGTGTTCCGTTCCCGCTTCCTTGCTGTTGGTCATGGGTTACGCCCACGACGCCGCCTCGACGCCGCCTGACGCCTTGGCGCCGCCATGCCGCCGCCACTGACGCCCGCTGACTCACGGATCCCGAGTCACGGTCGCCACCTGCTTCGCTCGCTGCTTCGCCCTCCCCGCCGCTGCTTCGCTCCTACCCCCTCGCTCTCCAGCGTCGATCCTTGGCGCTCGCATAAATAGCCCTCCGACCAGCCTCTGTCTTTTGCCTTCGTCTTGCCACTTTGTATTTTTAGTATCCTAAGCCTTGGATCTAGAATAAAACTTTGGCTTTACACTTGACACTCTGTGTCCCAGTCCAGTCCCCGCTCCTCTCCCTACGTTCGAGTCTTGTATTAGGACTCTTGCGCACTTCCCTGCTTGCCCCGTTGTCCAGTCTTGACAGCCCGGCACACAGGCTATCGATCGGTACGGTTTGCCCGGCACACAGACTATCGATCGGTACGGTTTGCCCGGCACACAGACTATCGATCGGTACGGTTTGCCCGGCACACAGGCTATCCATCGGTACGGTTTGCCCGGCACACAGACTATCGATCGGTACGGTTTGCCCGGCACACAGGCTATCGATCGGTACGGTTTGCCCGGCACACAGACTATCGATCGGTACGGTTTGCCCGGCACACAGACTATCGATCGGTACGGTTTGCCCGGCACACAGGCTATCCATCGGTACGGTTTGCCCGGCACACAGACTATCGATCGGTACGGTTTGCCCGGCACACAGGCTATCCATCGGTACGGTTTGCCCGGCACACAGGCTATCGATCGGTACGGTTTGCCCGGCACACAGACTATCGATCGGTACGGTTTGCCCGGCACACAGGCTATCCATCGGTACGGTTTGCCCGGCACACAGGCTATCCATCGGTACGGTTTGCCCGGCACACAGACTATCGATCGGTACGGTTTGCCCGGCACACAGGCTATCCATCGGTACGGTTTGCCCGGCACACAGGCTATCGATCGGTACGGTTCACCCGGCACACAGGCTATCGATCGGTACGATTCGTGTTTATTCTCTGGATTTCACTCCAGTCAAAAAAATAGCATCCTCATTCTGGCTCACGTCATCCCTCTGATCTTGGAGGTCAAAGCGTGCTTGCAATTGGGCAAGCATCCTCATATCTCTCCCATAAACCTTGATCAAGTCCTCATTATGTGTTTCCCTCAATTTTCTACAACGCACACCTTTCCCACGACTGATTATCTGCATTAAACCCCGATCGTCAACGAAAGGGTAAATCGCCCTATCGCCGTCGAACTTTACATAAACAGCTCGAACAAAATGGAGAGAATCACCCCATTTTTTCTTGATCGAGTTCCTTGTTGAAATATCGTCTTCCGAATCACGACTTCTGTCGTATGCTTCAAATTTTCGATCGTCGGACAGTGCAATGGCCTCTCGAGCATCGCAGAAGATTTGGTCTTTCCCGATGGTGACTTTGTGAAGCGGGCCAAGTTGGGTACGCTGGATCTGTCGCTGAGAGGAATCCAAAACGATGATCGGGTTCACTGTTCCATCCGCATTGGTTTGAGGATAGGGCTCGAGAAGTGGATGACCACGAAAAATCACGGCACCAGCAGGCTTCGGAACCGCCTGGCGACGGAGCCTCTTCACCTTGGTGGCTGGCTGTTGCACTTGATCGACGGCATCTGCATCGGGTAGCGCAAGGCTGGCGGTATCGATCTCGTGGCTGAGAGTGGCGAGATCATCGGTGTCAACGGGAGCATCAGAAGCGCTCGATTCTTCGACGGGAGGATCGTAAGGTGTCGAGTCGTTGAGGGACTCGAGCAGGGCTGGGGTAGCATCGCGGCTATTCCTGGATCGGGGGGCGACAAGAGCCTCGGTAGCGACGGGACGGTCGGAAGTGCTCGGGGCGTTGACGGGCTCGGGTACGGGTTCGGGCTGGACTAAGGTTGGGGCAGTAGCGCGCCTCTTCCTGGCTCGGGGGGCGGCAGCAGGGGCAGCTCGCGTGGTCTTGGTAATGGAGCTCATGGCGAGGCAGAAGAGAAGGCTGGTGATCGCTGGTGAAGGAGGAAACGGCGGGGCGAAGATGGCAGGGCACCACCTTGGGCGGGGGTGCGCCCTTTTGAACAGGGTCGGGGACGGAGGCTGCGGGACATGTCGCCCATGGGGGTCGGGGTTGACACGCACCGTCGCCCGATGGCAGTATGGCTGGAACCTGAGTGGTTCGAATTGGTGCGCAGCCCCGCATGCCAGCCACAAATTGGCTTGTCTGTGCACCGCCACACACATGACTGGCGCTGCACCATCGCCACTCAATGGACAGAATATACTGCTCGAACTGGGGAGATATGAACTTTATTCCATGCGAGCATTTTTGAACTCAGCTGCCTTGATGAAGATCAGGTACTTGTTCTCTGTGTTGGGTCTAGCCATCTCTTGCTGTATCTCACACTGGATCTCGCTGAGTACATGTACATCGTTTCCATAGATACCCATCATGACCAGTAACTGCTTCTCTCTCTCGACTGCAGATGGTTCCCCGATACCCCTATGAATGATATCCATATACCCTCGACGATCGATGAATGCAACCTCTCTAGATACATCGTCGAATTTGATGTAAACTGCTGGTATGTGCGCCAACGTTCTAGACCACTTGGCCTTGATGCTGTTGCGAAACTTGACGTGCTCGGCGGTTGACTCTTTCATATATGCACGAAAGTCTTTGCCATCCGAAACAGCAATCACCTCACGAGCATCAGAGAGAATGCGACCGTCTGGGAGAGTGATTGTCGTAACGTGCCCCATAATGGTCTCAATTCGCTTCCTGGCCGAGCGATCCAACTCGATGATTGGATTCAACGACCCATCGGCCATGAGACCGCGGTTCGGGAGCAAATCCAAGGGATACGGCTCGAGGAGAGGGTGGCCGTTGAAGCGGCGAACGATCTTTTCAGCGCTGGTGTCGGGAGGGCTCGATACGACAACTGACTCGGGCTGGACTGGGACAGGGGTGTCAGGAGCACCGGAGGCGGCGGTGGATTCGGGGCTCGTGGTGTGCTGGAGAGAGCCGGAGCCGGTCGAGATCACAGGAGGATCGTGATTGACTGCAAGACTGGCGAGCGACACTGGCATTCCCGGGACGACTTCGGATGGATCGATGTCGCAGGTGATATCTGACTCTGCATCCGAGTCGTCAATAACGATGACAGGACAATCCTCCTTCTCGGTCGTGGTGTGCTTGGGCGGGAGAGGCACTGGGTTCCTGCGTTGAGCAGAGGATCGACGCTTGGATCTGGAAGCAGGCATTGCTGGAGCTTGAAGCTGGGATGCGAGATCGGGGGCAGGGATGGCGGGTGTCGCCAAGGCACCTCCCATCGGACAGAACGCCCCTCCAGAGGAGGAGATTGCCACACGCGCCGCTGACGCCACACCAATCGGAACGACAGGGACAGGGAGAAAAGCGGGTGTATTGGTCTGCCCCTTGCGGCTCACATTGGGTATCGAAAGCCAGGCTCGATACGCTGGCGGATCGCAGCGAGACCATTCATATCAACAAAGGGAAGCTGAGGCGTGGTGCTGTCGTTGAACTTGATGTAGACCATATGGATGCCAGGAAGCGTTCTGGTGCAGATATTGGCGATCATCATCCTGCGGACACCTTCTTGACCGGTGGCGGTTTAGTAGACGTCGCGAGTGAGAAAGTCCATGGCGATGACGGGGTGGTTAGCGATAGACATCGGGTGAGGCTATGGTCTGGTGGGAGCTGGGGCTGGGGCTGGTGAGATGGCGAGAGAGAAGGGGCAGAACGCCGCGCCCGGGATGACACCTCATCCTCGCAGGGACGGCGGAGATACGGGCTGGGCTTGGACACCCAGTCACCTGGCCACCATCGTCTCCCAGGCGCCGCTGGCCATGGGGTATATGAGGGAGCCCAGTGTGCGTTGCTGGAGGCCCCATCCAACCAGCTCTCCTTCATCGCCATGTCCTCCCAGGCTACCAAGCGCATTACCCGCTCGATGAGCACCCGTGCTGCCAAGCGTCAACGCCTCCATGAGCAGCTGATCGCCTTGGGAATCGAAGAGACCTACCCCGTCCTCCTGACCGTCCTCTCGATCCCTGAGCTGATCCAAATGCTCCCTGCCTGCAGTCTCGTGAAGCTCAAAGCAACTTCCAGCGACGTGAGGACCCGGCTCTCGACCAAGACCGTGGGGATTCGCATCTGGGCTGAGTGGTTCGATAAGCAGTACGATACCAGGCTCCTCCCCGAGGACTGTACCCATCTGGTCAAGTATTTCCCGGCTGGACCGTTCCCCTTCGACGTCAAGTGGTTCAAGACCATTCCGAGATCCGTGGTTTCAGCCGAGTTCGTCCGAGTCGCATCTCGTATCCGCCGAGACAACTCCGATTTGCAGATCGTACGACGACTCCTCGATGCCAACCACATCCCCACTGCGATGTGGATTGTCAAGCGCATATTCTGGAATGGTGAAATCATCAGCAAAAGCCTTTCCGTCCTGCGCAACAAATCCGAGGTGCTCGACGACTTCCTCCTCGAACATCGCAACTTTTTCTTCGTAACACCATCTGACGAGATCAACCAGGCGTACTTCCAGTGGCTACAGTCGTTGGACGCATCCAACTTGAAGGTCAAGTTCACTCTCTACGAATGCTACCGATATGGCAGAGGTACCGATGCCAACCCGAACCGGGCCTTGAATCTCCTGGTCGAATGTGCTCGGGGTGGTTATCGCGACAGCACCCAGCAGATCTACGACATCTGCCAATATGGGGGGATCCGAAATGCGCCCCATGCATCGTCCGTCCGACGTTGGTTGTTGGAGTCGTCTGGGCACAGCCTCCCTGAAAGCGACAGGAATGTCCTGTTTTTCTACTGCATGAAGCATGCAATTGGGTTCCCTCGAGCGATGAACTGCATGAATCTCTACCAGTACATTTTGCTCACAAGTTGTCGTGCAGGAAGCATGATAGCACGCCAGCAAATCCTGCGCATTTCCCCCAGAGCATCACATCTCTGGGATCGCCCTGAGAACTGGGGTGATATGATCGCTCTGGACGACATCGCAGCAGCCAGAAACGACCCCCGGGTTCAAGCCATGTTGATCGACTTGCTCAAGCGCTCCATCGTGACCCGGAGCAATGACACTGCTCTTTGGGAGTATTACGAAAAGCGCATTCGCGAGGCATGCATGCAGTGAATGGAGTGCACACACCTTCTTCCAATCCTCTTCCAACCCGCTCACAAGCGACGACGTTTCACTTCCGAGTCTCTTACGAGTTTTCAGCCCCACACCATGTTTATCGAGCGAGCTTCACTTCCGAGTCTCTTCCGAGTCCACTCCATGAATGCGAGCGTGGGCCCCAAATCCTTCCCGGCCAGGAATATCTTTTTTTTCTTGAAAATTTTTGTTTTTTCTTCTCCAATGCCCCCAACCGGCCCCCAAAAGAGCTTCTCACTCCATATTCACTTCCAAATCACTTCCGAGTGAGTTCCGCGGTGGTATTCTCTCCATGTTTTCAGTGTTGAATGATAATATTATCACACTCCATGAAAAAATTCCTCTTCCGAGTCTCTTCCGACCACTCGATACGTCTCTTCCGAGTCTCTTCCGAGTCATTTGCATATCCACAAACACCAGAGTGATGAAGAGGGATGGTGTGAGTGTGTGGGTGGCTGGTGGGAATGAAGTGGTGTTCGATGGTAACCGAGAGTGGCACATGCGCACTCCATGTCGAGATCACCACCTGCGATTGTGGACAAGTGGGTAGCCACGATTGATCTCGTCAGAGCAACTCCTCACAGCAAACGGCTCGAGGTCCTCAAACTCGACTGGTTCTCTCCAGTCAAGGTCGTTGGCTTCCCGATACTCCCGATAGCTTGCATCATACACCTCGAACAACGTCCGCATCTCGCACATGCGCTGGACCACGTCAAAGAGCTGGATCTGCTTCTTGTTCGTGGCGTAGAGATCACAGAGCTTGCTGTCTGATCGTCGGCTCATGCCGCGATGGCGAAGTCCATGCTCCAGCAGCATCGTCTTGAGATCGCTGATCGTCAGGAGACTGGCGAATTCGGATGGGTCCTGCTGCTTCGTCAACAAGTCGTGCTCCGCGACGTTCCAGAGATGGCGTTCGTAAAGGTATCTGACCAGGTTCCTAGCGAACCACCTGAATTTGCTTTCTTGGCCCTCGTCGCCGATGCTCAGGAAGCTCTGAACAGCGGATGCCGGAGTGACCTGGTAGCTGCTCGTGGCAAAGTCGTCGTATTCTGACTTGCTGCGAATGTCCTGGACACTCACGCCCATGAGCGGGACGATGATATCATTGAGCCACGATACTCGATGGTCTTGCTGGAGCTCGGGGAGTGCAGCGACTGCCTGCTCGACTCGCTCAGCGATGGCCGGGAATATCGCCACAATGCTGTCCTTGAAGGCATCTTTGCCTGCTGCGTGGCGATCGATCCACACAAGCAGCTCCTCGGGCGTCTTGATGTGCTCGTCTCGATAGCGGGCATATTCGGCTGGTGTGTACGGGTAGCTGCGCGACTTCATCGTCTCCAGGAAATCATAGTCGCGCTCGAGTCGCTTCTTGAGCTCACGCCAGCCCCTGCCGTTGGCGAGGAATGCGGCGACCATGTCCTTGGAGAACTCGTACGTCTTCTTGGGGAGGGCTGCGATCTTTTGCTTGCGCTCGAGGATATGCTGGCCCTTCTGGCATCTCTTGACCACGGCTCGCTCCTTGAAGGCGGTCCAGCTCCCATGCAGCTCGGCGACGCGGGCCATGACCTGAGGGCGCAAGTAATAGGTGCCAAAGGTGAATCTGCACTTCTTGCTGATGCAGATCGATCCCGTTGGCATGTCTCCGGGCTTGATCTTGTAGAGCTTGTACATGGTACTGACCGAGACCAACCCATAAATGCAAGAATCGTGGTCAAAGGTGCAGTTGTAGCAAATGGGGTAGGGAATACAAGGGTAGCTGTTTCTGGGAATCCTGATGCGACGACACCCCACACACAGAGTGGTATCGAGGCAGTGGATCCAGGCCATGATGCTCTTGCAGGTCTTCAGCTCCTCGGTGAAGGCAGGCTTGGATGGATGCTTGTGGAGACGCACGGCCCAGTAGTGGACGTCGTTGACGGCGGCATGGTGGTAGCGACTGGTCTTGGCGAATCTTGCAGCAGCGGCAGCAGGCATGAAGTCCGAGATGAGCTGGATGATCTCGACAGGTAACTCAGGCATGGGCGTGGGCGACCATGTCACCACTGGGCCGGTGGGTTTGGGCGGCTCTGCGGCAGGAGCTGTGGGATTGGCCTTGGCTCGCTTGGAGCTGGTGGGTTCGGCGGAAACGGACGACTGGGCTTTGCGCTTGCGAGGCATGGTGGATCGGGTTGGGGGGTGCGGGCCGGTGGCAGATGCTTGTGGTTTTTGTATGAAAATCACAACCCCCCATCCAGCGCAAGTCACATCAGGGTCGTCCTCCGCCCCACTCAGGGACTCGTCAGGGACAGGAAGCAAATCAAGGGGTCAATAGGTGCGATATATTGATCACAGCTGTAGCTGACAGCGAACAAGTCAGTGGGAGGACGTTCTGGCGTCGCCACGTCTGATGGCAGCGATCCTTTCTTGGCGGAGGGCTCGTTCCGTTTCGATGCGTTCGAGAAGGAGCTCGTTTTGGAGCTCGAGGTTCCTGCGCTTGAGCATCATCATCGGATCTTCGATATTGGTCGGGGTGTTCGCCTGCTCCGTGGTTTCAATGACGACCTCTGCTGCGACTTCAGGGCTGGGAAGTCGGCGGCGAACTTGAGTAGGGGGACTGGGCGAAGATCGGGTATCCTCGGTAGCGAGCTCGGGGCTCTGGTGAGGAGGTGACTTTCTCTTCAGACGACGGGGGGTCGAGCGACGTGCAAACAAGCGAGAGCTGGAGCCGGTGGGAGTCGCTGCCGATTCCTGTCGTTTGCCGGGCGAAACACCATTGACGATGCTGCTCTTGGTGTACTGCAGGAAGCGAGAAACATCGTCTTCGTCGTCCGAAAGTTCGTCGCGATAGAGGGTGACGACAGCGCTGTGCAGGGCCATGACCTGTTCCTCGGTCAGAAACAAGTCTCCATCGGCGAGTTCACCAGAGGTATGGTCGAGGAGAGAGCGAAGGGTTTCTATGAACCTGAGGTCGAAAGGGAGTTGGTCGCCGGAGGAGAAGCGAGCGCGAATGTCCGAGATGAGGAGACGAGTCTTCTCTCGAGCGAAATCGAGGCCCTCGGGCGTGCGGCGGTCTCCATCTTTGAAAATGGAGATACCACGCTCTTTGCGAGTGACCATCTGAATCCAGCTGTACATGGTCATGATGTGGTGGGGGTATTGGTGGGTATCGAGGATGGAGGGAATGGTGCGAGATGACAAGGGGATGGAGGACTTTGTTGGCTTGGGGGAAGCAAGGCTGGGTCTCATGGACACGCGTGTTTCTGTGGCAGTAACCACGAACACGGAATACATTTAGCTGGATAGCCATGCTGAGGCTAGCCACAGAAGATGACGGGATGGATTGGCGTTTGCTTGGGTGAGTGAATAGGAAGGTGACGTTCGCCCTCCATGTTGGTGGTGTGGGAGATAACGGATCGCTAATACACACCCACTCGAAGGCTAATGCAGAAAAACGTCGTCCTGATGCACACCCTCTCCATGCCTGATGCACGGCTGATCTACGCTAATACACATGACCCGAAACGTCTCCATGGTTCATGGAGTGGCTGCGTTCGCTCTGAAACCCGCCCCACTCCATGGGTCCTGGATGAACTGGTTGAAAGTCCTGGCCAAGAAAGTGATTGAAATTTTTTGAATTTTCTGTATTTTTGGGGTAGCTGGCAACGACGACAAGACCCTCACTCCACGAAACTCATTTCTAATACACAGCACCGACACAACCACACCCTCACTCGACAACATCACTCCTTGAGAACAAATGAGAGTACAAATAGCACTCACTCCATGATGAAACCTAATGCAGAACCCCGACACACCCTCTCCATGAATCCCGAAATCTAATGCATAAGTGCGTGCAACTCACGGATTGTGGAGCGCTATCGATGACCAGATGATATTGGAAGTGGCACTTGCGCACTCCATGACCGGGATCCCGCCCGTCGCCATACCACGGGTGGCGCTTCAAACACGTGGATCCGTGCGCAGCACTGTGCCCCAGGGTCGCGTTCACCCTGTCCGAGGTCCTGGGGCACGGCAGAGAAGAAAAATCCCTCGCCCCCCTTTTTTGCGTTTTTGTCGCTCTCCCCGCAACGATGAACCCCTTCCAGTTCAAGCCAGGAAACAGAAGCAACTACAGTCCCCTCATGGGTGGTGGTTCACTGGACGACAGCGGAGACGAGTCGCTCCAGTCCGATACATTGCTCGTCGGAGATCGAATCACCGACACCCAACTCATCGAACGAGAGCTGCCCGACGATGCCTTTGAATCTGAGGATGAGCATGACCCCCTCGAAGATTTTACACCGTCTGTAACGTCCACTACTGGGACGTTGGGGCAAGACGGGGAGGGAGGGGGTACAAGACAAGACAGGACGGGGCAGAACAGGGCGGTGCTAGGCTACTCTAGCGGACGGGTGAGCTCGGGGAGCACTTACGTTTATTCACGATAAAACCGAACTCCAGACAAACGGGGGGAACGGGGGCAACCCGCAGGTATACCCTGCGGTGGCCTGCCTGCGGTGCGTGAAAACGCAAAGCGCAGCACAGGTCACGACCCACTGCGCCGCGCAGTACGCGCAGTACGCGCAGCACAGCGTCGGAGATACCATCTCCTACACTCCCACACTTAAGAAGGCTTCCTGCGAGGAGCCCTGCGTGTGCTCTTTATTTGGGGCTCCTCGAGGTGTTTACCGTATTTACTCAGCTCCTCGGGTGCATGGGACAAGTCCTCCAGTGTTTGCCATGTGTTGCCCGAGTGTGGGTAACCAACCCACTTGACATAAAACCGAAGTGACCCATCAGCCACTTTCTTGTGCCTCACGATCCTTTCGACTTCATATTCTTGAGTATAGTATTGTCCGAGGTCGTCTTCCAGTGGTGCGTCGTCCGGGACACCTTCGTCGGCGTCGGGGAACTGTGCTGGACTGCGGGTCGTGTGGCGACGCAGCTTGGACACATGGAAGACAGGATGGAGCTTGCTTCCAGGTGGCAAGTCCAACAGGTAGTTGAGGGGACTGGGTCGGGCCGCTATCTTGAACGGTCCTCGGTACTTGGGCAACAACTTCTTTGACTGGGCTTCGGGGACCTTGATGTTGTCGGCGTCCAGGTAGACAAGGTCTCCAACTTCAAAGGAGACATCCTGGTGTCGGCGGTCGTAGTACTTCGCCATCACTTGTTGCGCATCCGTGAGCGCGTCGGCGATCATCTTGTGTCGGACTTGATGATCTTTGACAAAGGCACTTGGTTTGGGAGGCAATCCAGCCGTGGACTCGGTCAGTGTCAAGGAGGTGGGAACATCAGGCTGGAATCCGTAGAGCGCCTCAAAGGGGCTCAAGCCAGTTGTGCTCGACTTGGCGGTGTTGTATGCAAACTCTGCATGACTCAGCTGTATGTCCCAGTCGTCTTGGCTGGTCGAGGCGTATGTCCTCAGGTATTGCTCGAGGGTGCGGATCGTCCGCTCGGACTGTCCATCCGTTTGTTGGTGGTGCGAGGTTGACATGTTCAGCTTGGTGCCGAGATGGTCGAACAGACTTGTCCAAAACAAGGAGGTGAATCGGGGGTCTCGATCACTGACGATGGACTTTGGGAGGCCGTGGTGCTTGAACACATGCTTGAAGAACAGCAGTGCAAGGTCAGGCGCGGAGCATGTCGTCTGGCACGGCACAAAGTGTGCCATCTTGCTGAACCTGTCGACAAAGACAGCGATTGCATCGTGGTCCAACTTGGTCGTCGGTAGATGCGTGATGAGATCCATGGACATGCTGGTCCAGGGGCGGTCGGGAACAGGCAGGGGTTGCAGCAATCCTTGCTCTCGGGTCGTGCGTGACTTGACCATCTTGCAGGTATGGCAGGACTCGATGTACTTCTCGACGGTGCGCTTCATTCCAGGCCAGTATGCGACTTTGGCCAGTCGGTCGTATGTCTTCTCGACTCCAAAGTGTCCAGCGAGGGGCGAGTCGTGGACCTCTTGGAGCAACTTGGTCTTCAACGACGGAATGTCCGGCACACAGACACGGCTGTCCTTCTTCAGGAGGAGCAGGCCATCACGCACTGTGTACTCGGATGATTCGTCGTCCTTGGGGAGCTTAGACACCTTTCGGAACAGTTCTCCGAACTGTTTGTCGTTGGCGATGTTGTCTCGGACAACATCCAGCATCGTGTTGTCGACACTGACAGTCGACTCGTACAGTGACGCCAATTGGTAGTCGGGGCGTCGGGACAGTGCGTCAGGCACCACATTGAGTTTGCCTTTCTGGTATACAACCTCGTAGTTGTACTCGGCGAGGAACTCCATCCATCGCGCTTGGCGTCGGCTCAGGTTCTTCTTGGTGTCGAGGTAACGCAGTGACTGGTGGTCCGTCACAATCTTGAAGGGCTTGGCGGTACCGTGGAGGTACACTCGGAACTTCTGCAGCGCGTAGATGATCGCAAGCTGCTCCTTCTCGTGCACGGGATAGTTGATCTCGTGTTGGGACAGTTTGCGCGACTCGAAGGCAACGGGCCTTCCCTCCTGCATCAAAACAGCTCCCACCGCAAAGTCGGAGGCGTCGGTGTGCACGGAGACATCCGTGTTCGGGTCGAACACAGCGAGGACAGGAGCGTTCGTCAAGGCGTGCTTGAGGGTCTCGAACGCTTGGCGTTGTGGGTGGTCCCACACGAAGGGGCACTCTTTGCGGAGTAGGTCTGTGAGTGGACCGGCAGTGCGCGCCAGATCGGGGATGAATCGGCGGTAGTAGTTGACGAGACCGAGAAACGACTGCACGTCAGAGACGCATGCGAGCGGCGGCCACTCGACCACAGACTTGACCTTGGCGGGGTCGACTTCGATTCCTCTTCCTGAGACAACGTGTCCCAGGAACGGGACTTGATTCTTGAAGAACTCACACTTGGACAGTTTGGCATACAACTTGTGCTCGCGTAGCTTGGCCAGCACGCGGGCGACATGACCTTCATGGGTCGCTTCATCCTTGCTGTACACAAGGATATCATCCAGGTACACGATGACAGAGTTGTCGAGCTCTTGGCGGAACACATCGTTCATCAGCTGCATGAACGTGGCAGGTGCGTTCGTCAATCCGAACGGCAGCACTAGGAACTCGTACAGTCCGTAGCGAGTCCTGAAGGCGGTCTTGTGGACATCATCCTCGTGGATGCGGATCTGATGGTAGCCTGAGCGGAGGTCTATCTTGCTAAAGACCTTTGCTCCACTCAGACGATCCATCAACTCGTCGATCCTGGGCAACGGGTAGGTGTTCTTGATGGTCTGTTTGTTTAGTGCGCGATAGTCGACGCACATCCTGAGATCACCTTCTTTCTTCTT